AGGTGAATAGATTAACAAACCAGCACGTGTGTGCCATGTGCCCTCGAGCCCTGTTCAGCCGCCAGAACACGTGGAGACTTTACACTTTTTACCTGCACGGAGTTGAAGGACATTCTCCTCAGTAAAGTATCAAAAGAATAGAAAAACAGGTATCCTATGTACTCAATACTAATATGAAGCCAGTAGATGAACTAATACATGCCCAACAAAAAAACTGAATTAAATTCAACTGGGGGGAGGGGCTGAAAGAGGAGGGCGGGGCTTGGGTGCTCTCGCCTGGCCCGCGGCCCAGTGTAAGGGGCTGCGGCACAGCACCTGGGGGAAGGGCTCAACTACAGCTGGAACTCTACCTAACGAACACAGACAATGGAACCTGATCATTTGTACCTTCATATTAATCTGAAATAAATAAATAAGAAGAAAATATAAGGGGGGGGGTGAAGAGAAAGAGACAGAGAAACAGGAAAATTTTCTATTTGTGAAGTCCATACCTCCAAAACTGTATAGAAGTTTCACTTTCTGTTTCTCTTTCTAGAAGCTTTATAATCACATGTAAAATTTCTATTTTATTTTATTTCATTCATTTCATTTTATTTTGAGACAGAGTCTCACTCTGTCACCCTGGGTGGAGTGCTTTGGTGTCATAGCTCACAGCAATCTCAAACTCCCGGGCTCAAGTGATCCTCCTACCTCAGCCTCCCCAGTAGCTGGGACTACAGGTGCCTGCCACCACACCTGGCTAGCTTTTCTATTTTTAGTGAAGATGGGGTCTTGCTTTGCTCAGGCTGGTCTCAAAACTCTGAGCTCAAGCAATTAGTTTATTTCTTTTAAAGAGTCCTTTTCTTAGCCAGTTTTAAGAAAAATTACTGCAGAGCTTACATAAGTACGCTTTACAGTAAATGATGACTTGTAAATGGCATCGTGTGGTCTTTGCTTTCTAACACTTTTCATGGACTGTCTGGAGGTGTGCATGATACAGGATTTTATTCTTTAATAAAAACTGAAAAGCTGAATAACTTCAAAATAATTTTAATTAGCCTGAGATGTTTCATTTCCAAAATTTCCATTTGAAAATGAGACTACAAGATGAATAAAAAAGGGGTAACTCATGGTTTTAAAAAAATGTATGTCAAATATAGTTTGTTTGGAGTAATCACTTTGGAGTCAATGTTTTTGAAGTGTCTTCCTAGGTTGAAGCCAAGGGCTTGGTTAATGGAGGCTGCTATGAACAAGGACCAAGATTACCTGATTTAGCAAAGCATTTGTGGGTCAGTGAGATTAAGAGCAGGCTTTTGAACAATGACTTGAACTTTTTCTGGGTTCTATGCTTAGACAGAAACCTTTGTTCTTTTTCTGAGCACAAGAATCATTATTAAGATGCTGCTATTTCTAAATATTGTGGATGAAATAAATAATTAGTATATAAACTTGAAAAATGTAATTTTCTCTAAAATGTCATAACTTTCAAGTGTAGAAATTCCCACTCCACAGTCCTAGAAAACAAAGAAAAAAAACTCCGTGGCAAATACTAACTAACAGTTCTAGAAATTCTGAGAGGACCCCAAGGCCAGCAATCAGGTCAAATATGAGTTAAACGATTTGCAGTGATTTGTCAATTAAGTGGTGGGTGCAAAGTTGATTTTTTTGGTAATTGATATGGGACTGATTAGGATTGATTCATAGAGCTAGGGTGAGGGAGTGGGAGCTGAATTCCTGCCAACCTTTATTGGCCAAATCAGACAACTCCTGCTTTGCAAGTGCTCACTAATTGCTGTTTTACTTTATATTAATTAAGGCAGTGATTTTCAACCACTATACATGGCACACACCAGCATGTCACCAAAATTTTTAAAAATCATTCATTAAATTATTTTCAAAAAAAACTCAAAGTGCAGTAAGTATATTCTTTTTTTTACTCTCTCTTTCTCTTTTTCTCATCAACTTCATTTAAGTGTGCTGAGGAAGTTTAACTATAGTTTCAAGTGTGTTGTGAGATGTTTTTTAAAAGGCTGAAAAGCACTGCATTAAGGTGTAACTTTGACATTTAGAATGTTCTATCACTGACATCACTTTTATTCATATTTCCAAGAACCCTGCGATTCTGTAAGGTTGCTGTCACTTTAATGTAACTATAAACTGAGAATCTGTGGTCGGACCACCCAAGTTCTCTCCTGACTGAGGGTTTGCCCTTGTTTTTAGTCTCTATTTTTAGTGCTTTTTTTTTTGCCACCATGATATTTTGTTTTTCACAACTGTTTTTTTTTTTTTTCTGTAGAGACAGAGTCTCACTTTTTCGCCCTTGGTAGAGTGCAGTGGAGTCGCTCCAGCAACCTCCAACTCCTGGGCTTAAGCGATTCTTCTGCCTCAGCCTCCCAAGTAGCTGGGACTACAGGCGCCACAACGCCCGGCTATTTTTTGTTGCAGTTTGGCCAGGGCTGGGTTTGAACCCGCCACCCTCGGTATATGGGGCCGGCGCCTTACTCACTGAGCCACAGGCGCCTCCCCACAACTGTTTTTATATTTCATGGAGAGATTGTTATTTCTTCCATTAGAATAATTATTTTTGATTTCTGTGTAATTTTACCTCATCTATCTTCATCTGTCATAAATTCAGGATATTTAAAAGGGAGGAAGATAATTGTCCTTTGGTAATGGTTGGAGGCAGAGCGGACCCAGAGAAAAATATCAAAGCTTTCAAATTTGTCAAAGGCTTTTTATTTTTTTATTTTTTTGGTAAGTCTAAACTGTCAAGGGAGCTGTGATTGCTCATCTTTCCCCTCAGCCATCATGAAGATCAATACCGATTTCAGTGCTGCTGATCACGCGGTTATCTGCATCAATCCCTGTGATCGGCACAGGGAACAAATCAAACCCAGGGGAGCTATTTCATTTCACCTGTGATTTAGAATGCAATATGCTGCATATCAATCTTTGTGTCTGTGCTAAAAGCTGCCCCTACAAGCATAAGTCATATTTTAATAATATTAAATGTAGTTATAAACTTTCTCCACAAAATCCTGAAATGTGCAGATTAACCTTGGTTAATAACCCAGGGGTAATGTGACAGTAACTAAAATAAAATATTTTGTCTAACATAAGAAAAAAGGCAGGGGTGAAAACCAGAGAGAAATAAAACTCCTGATGCATAATCTCGTATGTTATTTATGGGCATATACAAACGTTGACTAAGAATATCTGAGGATCTTACATGCTAAATACCAAAATGAGGTTGGTTGTCCATCACAGACAAACCAAGATAGAAAGACGGACAGCCTGCAATAAATTCACATCCGCTTATATATTTCTTGGACAACTTTTCTGTTGAGTGTTAGCCTCATTCTTTAATAAAATCATTCTGCACATCTGTTTTTCTCCAGATACACATAAGATAAATGGCATTCATGTATTCACATGAGATACACACTCATGGGTATCTCTGGAAGACGTAAAATTCTGAAACTTTCATGTTCTCCAAATAGCTTATCAGAATGAAGGTAGGAGAGAGGCTATATGTTTTTTTCCAAAATAAATTTGGTATTTGATTCATCACAAACAAAAATCATTATAATTTTGTCATAGTCAAAAGGTACTACATAACACACAATGGAATCCTACAGAGACACGGAAAACGAACAAAGTCTTGTCATTTGCAGTAACGTAGATGAGCCTGGAGGTCCTTATACAAGCGGAAGGAAGCCAGGCACAGAAGGACCAGTGCTGCTTGCTCTCAGAGGAGCTAGCAATTTGCTCTCAACAGAAGTAGAAGGGAGAATGGAGGATAGAAATGGTGCCAAAAGGCAGAGATTGCTTGACAGAGACAGAATAGACAGAGGACTCAGCTCCAGTATTCCTGAGCAATGCAGAGTGGCTGTAATTAAGAACAATGGAGGGGCAGTGGCTCACACCTGTACTCCCAGTACTCTGGGAAACCAAGACAGGCAGATCCCTTGAGCTCACAAGTTCAAGACCAACCTGAGCAAGAAAGAGACCCTGTCTCTACTAAGAATAGAAAAACCAGATGGGTGTGGTGGCAAGTGCCTGTAGTGCCAGCTACTCAGAAGGCTGAGGCAGGAGAATCACTTTTACTCCTTTCTGCCTCTGAAAAGGAATTCAGACTCAGATATGAGTCCAACAGTTTGATGTTGCTGTGAGCTATGATGACACCACAGCACTCTACCCAGGACACAGAGTGAGATTCTGTCTCAAAAAATAAAAATAAATAAATAAAAAGAACAATGTAGTGCATATTTTCAAATAGCTAGAAGTGTGCTTTGTGGATCTTCCTAGCAAAAGAGAAATGATACATACGCAGATGGATATACTGATTATCCTGATCTGATCATTTCACATCATGTTCATGCATTGAAATATCACACTGTACCCCATAAATATGTACAAGCCTTATGTGTCATTAAATATATTAGCTAAAACAGAAATACAATGAAAAAATGAGATGCCATTAGATTAATTTAGGACACGTGATGATTCTGTAGTTACAAATGATGTGAATGTGTCAGAGCTTTTAATTTTTACTTTCCTCCCCCCTTTCTCCATGGTGATTCTTTAGATGTGCGTTAAGTCAGAAAAATGCAAGCCAGCAATGAATTACCATAGTTAAGCTGTCAATCAGATAGATACTGGAGGGAAAAGGCTCTGGTCTAGAAGGTTGAAAATTATCCCTCTGAGATAGTTGAAACAGAAAGAGCAGACAACAGCAAGAAATACTACAATTCTGTGAGAAGCCTATAGTCCAGGGATTCAGTTCAGTATCATTACAAGACACCAAGGAGAAGATTCTGCAAGCATTGTATGAGAGGAAGGTGGGGGTCGCCGGTTTGGATGCGAGGGAATGAATTGGATGACTGTGAGCACACACTGGTTAAAGTAATATTGGACCACTGAACACCTTTTCAGAGGCAGCATCTTGATAACATATTAGTTATTTAGCTTTTGCAATGTAAGAATCCCTGCGTTTTGGGTTTTTGTTTCCTTTTTTTTCCAGATACATAAGGGCAAATGGTTAATTACATGATTCAATCTGCTTAACTATGCAACCGTAATAGTATAGAATTGCTGCTTTTTGTTTTTGTTATTTGTTCTAATTTCTAGCACGTTTTTCTCTCACTTAAGGAGTTTGTGCACAATTTGGAAACACTGTCTCTCTCTCTCACACACACACACACACAAAGAAGTTATCCATATTCTCCTCTTCTCTAGATGATATAGAATTCTGGCTCATGTCTACAAATGTACTGGCCAAAAATAAGGGGAGAAGTGCTGAAGGAACGTGGGCGGAAGCTTTTCCATTTCTCACAAGTTGCTGAGATGGGGCCATGTGTTTTTGGACATTGTAAAATGTAAATGGAATTTTATTTTTAAATTAAGCTAAAGGTGGAAAGAGTATCACAACATGCTTTTACAACTTGTTGAAAATAGACTCCACTTGTTACCAAAATAATGCTTTCTGAGACTTGGGAGGCAACAATAATATCAAATTGCAACTAAGTGATTTTATTGCAAGAGATCTGAATCAAAGGGGCAAAGGTCACAGCGTTTGGCTTTGAACACAGGATAGACAGAAAGGATGGATGAGCTTCTCTTTATCTTTAAGATAATTTTCTTATCTCAAGTTAATATTGTCTATTTCTTACTGGATTAACAGGAGCTGGACAATTTACATCTTACAAATGCCCCTGGAACCCTGCGTCCTATGGGCTCCCTGGTGGCAGCTAAAGTCTACCCACCAAACAGGATCTGATAAGTCCTGGTCAGGATTTGTCTGGTCCCATTTCCTCTCCTGAGGCCTGAGGTCAGAGGAGAGAAAATGTTAGATTGTTCCTTTCTCTCTGCAACTATATCCAGAGAAAACACACACACACACACCCCAATCCAACTTAGAAAAAATGCTTTTTGAATGAATGAAGAAAAATGGTTATTCTTTGGCCTACAAATTGGTTCATGTCCTGATAAAACCACCATAAAGAGAAAATATCTTATGTAGACAATGCATTTTATGCACCCAGCCTACTGAAGGTCACAACTCATCCCAGGTTACCCTGAATGTGCTCAGAACACTCACCTTAGCCTACCGCAGGGAAAACCCACTGGCAACAGGGGACACCACAAAGCTCCAGTTGTTTGCCCCTGTAATTGTGTGGCTGGTAGGGAGCTCTTGTCCCCTGCGCTGCGGGATCTTGGGGATCTCCAGAGAATGTCATCACTAGCCCAGGAAAAAAAATCACAATTCAAAGTGTGAAGTCTGATTTCTGCAGAATGTATATCACTTTTGCAGAGCCATAAAACCCAAAAATCTTACGTTGGACATGTCCGTACTTTCTCTTCCTCATTATCTGTTTGCTATACCTTTTGCAATAATTCAGCATTTGGGGACAAAGGGGAAAGTAAGACTAGATGAAGGGTAAAAAGAAGAGAGAGGAGAACAAAAAAGAGGGGAGAGGAAAGAACAACCAAAGTTCAAAAAAAAAAAAAAAAAGAAAGAAACACTTTGAAAACCCATGTTCCTGTTTCAGAGCAAAGTTCGTAGGGCTGATTGGATTTGCCATCCAGACTGCCTTGCTGTGCTCCTTTTGGATAGAACATTTACAGATTGTAAAATTGCTTTTATGATCATTGAAGTATTCAGATATAGCATTGAGGTAATTTTGATTTAATGCGATCTTTGATAAAAACCATTGATTTCATCCATACGTCAAGATAAGGGCTTGTGTTGTTATTACCTTGTTCATTTCTTTCACTGCAGTGTTTACTCTTTGCTCTCCAATATTTTACAGCACATCTTTTTCTTGATTAAAATTTGCTGAAAATAGTCTGGTTTACTATTTTTAAAAAAAACCTTTTAATGATCAAATCCAAACTTTGTTCTGTTTTCTATTTATTATTTATTTTTACTTTTATTAACCCCTTTTCCACATTTTTTACTCTATCTAGTTTTTTATTTCAATTACTATCTTATTTTAATATTTTGGTTGTATTTTAATGGATATTTACATATGCATTTCATTTCACATATTTCATAGTTAACGGTGAATAGCCACTTTCCTCCCTGCATTGCTCTCCAATTCTATTGTCTAAAAAAGTCACTTTTACCTGTTTAGCCAATTTTTGTATATTTTTCTGTTGACCTAGCCTTATAAACATAGCTGGAGTTTCTTCCAGGTGCTGAAACACATCTGATCATCCATAATCTTCTGCATTTTGTTTGTTTGTTAATGTTTGTGCCCAGGAGCTGCCTTTTCTGCATCCCTGTCGCCCTCACCCACTTTTGTATTTGTAAAACAGCAGAACAGCTGACATGTTGGAAATCTGCGTAATTTCTCCTGTTTGGATGCTCTTCTATTCTGGGTCCCATTTCTTCCTCTTTCTAAGTTAGGCTCTGGTTTTTCAGGAACAAACCTACCAGCAATTTACTAAGAATAGGCTAAAAGGGATAGAAATATTTAATTCTCTTTATTTCCAAAAACATTTACATTCCACCTGCATGTGGATTAATAATCTGAATACCGAATTATAGCTAATGCTTTTCTTCCAAAAGTCTAAAAACAATGCTTTATTTTTGCTGGTGAAAATGTGATCACGTTTAATTCCCATTCCTTGGTATATGACCTGTTTTATTATCCTTTTATTCTTCTAGAAACTTTTAGGATCTTTTTATGTTTTTAAAATCTATACAGTTCTAAAAATTAACCATATTTAACCTTATTAAGATAATCTTTCCCCGTTTATATTGTTAGAAATGGGAACACTTAGCTGGCCAGTTCAGAGAGTTGGCCGCCTCTGGAATCGTCCCTCTCAGTTTCCTCTATTTTCTCCTCTATCTTCCATTTTTAATGTTTTAAAATTTTGACGTAAAGCTATATTTGATCTTATCTTTCAGTCTTATTTATTATTCTAATTTTATCCATATCCTTTTTATTTCTAAGAGTTTTCTGTTACTCCCTGTCTTTTTTGAAGACTACCCTATTCTTGTTTTGTAGAAATCCAGCTTTTTCTTTCTCATCTGAGGGTGTAATTAATGGTTTTGGATCTTTCCTCAGCTCCTAAATAAGCTCCACCTGCTCTTTCTTATTGCTTCCTTTACCTGTTGTCCCCATCTTTTGCCTTGGAATCTTTTCTCAACCAACTGGTGTTTCTTATCTGCTAACCCCTCACAGTTAGGAATGAGGCACTGCTCTGCTGATTAAGGATGATGAGCATTTTTCATGTTTTTGGCCATTCGTCTGTCATTTTTAAAGAAATTTCCATTCAAGTATCTTGCTCACTTATAAATGTGGTTGTTTGCTCTTTTCTTGTTGATTAAGTTCTCTATAGATTCTAGTTATCAGCCCTTTGTCAAATTCATAGCATGCAAATACCTTCTCCCCATTCCTAAGGCATCTGTTGGCTTTAGTTGGTGCCCTTAGCTGGGCAGAAGCTTTTTGGCTTGATCATGTCTCATTTGAGGGGGAGGAGTATCCAAAATACTCAATACTAATAATATGAAATCAATATTTAAACAACTATACTCCCACACAAAAGCACAAACACAAGTATAGTCCAGCAAGGAGGAAGGGAAGAGGAGGAAGAGGAGAGGGGAGGGAGGGTGAGTAGCGGGATCACACCTAATGTGCACAGTGTCAGGTGTTCAGCACAATCCCTGGGTGAAGGGCTCAACTACAACCTGAACTTTGCCTTAGAAACTAAAATAATGTAACCTAAACATTTGTACCCTTGTGTTAATCTGAAATTAGTTAGTTAATTATTAATTAAAATGTAAATTAACCTTAAAAAAAAGAATGAGGTAGTAGATGCTGGTGGGTTCTCCGTGATGCTGGCCACAGCTTCAGACTAATGAGCTTCCCTGGGGGTGATCTCAGATGCATAAGCCATTTAACTAATCAGTGGCAGCCTCCCAAATGCCAGCATCCTGATTCTTTTTTTTTCTTCTGTGGTTCCTTTATGTTTCTTTAAAGAAGGTTCCACCAATGACCAATCCTACTTGCCCCATGAGGAACCAAGGTTGGGAGGGGTGCAGACGGCAGGCCTGTCAGGTCCCATTCAGGCTTTCCCCAAGTGCAGCACACAAAGCTCCACTTCTGTGCTATTTTAATCCAGACACTGCATCCTGTCTTCCTTTGTGGCACCTGTGTGTCCAAGCCCACAGGTGCTCTGTTATATTTGGGCAGAGAATAAGCCCCAGTGCCTTGACTTGAATTGGGAGATAGTATGTCTCCCGGATGCAAGAATAGAAAGGGACACTCGGCACTCAGGCCATTTTACACTAACTATGAGCCGCTCCCCTTATTTTCATGATCTACCCCCCCCATTTCCTGAGGGTTTTATGCACGATTTTTAACATGTAATAAACCATGATGAAAATATTGTGGCAAGTAGAGAAAAATCGATAAATAAAATTCAAACTATTTGTTTGGACAGGACTTTAGAATAACAACTGGTGATTTAATTCAAGATTATTTAAAACATTCATACACTCTGATCAATAACAAAAGTCTCCTTAAGGACTTTTTCCTAAAATAGAACCAGAAATGAAAACAAGTGAAGAGTGTTAAGATATTATTTGAAATTGTATCGTTTCACTTTTATTTGGAACCACATAAACAGGCAGTGATAGAGGGATGTGAAATGAATTGTGGCAAATTTATAAAGTGAAATATTATATGGTGATCAATTATGGTCTTGAAGAACAGTAAGTGAAAATAAGTAGAACACATCTGTATATACAACTTACAGCAAATTTATTAACAGAAACAGATGATTTTCATTTTTTCTTTAAATCTGTCCATATGTTTTATATTTCTCCAATGAATCTTAATGCCTTTTCCAATAAAAATAACTTTTAACTAAGGAAAAAGATTAGCAGGATAAAACCAAAACTACTATCTTAAAGGGGGCAAGAATGTGTCATTAAATAATGACATGTTATATTTTGTGTGTTGTATCTTTATTGGTTTATTCATAAGAGAATATATTTATGTATTGCTGGCATAATTAATTGTTAAATAAAAAAAGTCATTGATTTTCTAGAGGCAACATAAAATTTAATCTTTAC